CGTCACCGGTGCGACACCTTGATCTCCATCGTAGCATCGTTGTCGTTACGCCATCTATTGCTTCTACGACTATCGCTACCGCTTAGAAATAAAGTAAAGCAATTACAGGGCGTTTGTATTTCATACAATAAAGCGATAACCATATGGCTCCTGCTAGTTGCCGATAACTTCGGTTACAAAACATGATCATCTCATACAATAAAATATAGCATCATGTCTTGACCATATCATATCACAACATGCCTTGCAAAAACAAGTTAGACGTCCTCTATTTGTTGTTGCAAATTTTACATGGCTGCTATGGGCTGAGCAAGAACCGTTCTTACCTACTCTTCAAAACCACAACGATAGTTCATCAAGTTAGTGTTGTTTTAACCTTCTCAAGGACCGGGCGTAGCCACACTCGGTTCATCTAAAGTTGGAGAAACTGACACCCGCTAGTCACCTGTGTGCAAAGCATGGCGGTAAAACCAGTCTCGCATAAGCGTACGCGTAATGTCGGTCCAGGCCGCTTCATCCAACAATACCGCCGAACGAAAGTATGACATGTTGGTAAGCAGTATGACTTGTATCGCCCACAACTCACTTGTGTTCTACTCGTGCATATAACATCTACGCATAAAACCTGGCTCTAATACCACTGTTGGGGAACGTAGTAATTTCAAAAAAATTCCTACGCACACGCAAGATCATGGTGATGCATAGCAACGAGAGGGGGAGTGTATCTTCATACCCTTGAAGATCGCTAAGCGGAAGCGTTTATCAACGCGGTTGATGTAGTCGTACGTCTTCACGATCCGACCGATCCAAGTACCGAACGCACGGCACCTTCGAGTTCGGCACACGTTTAGCTCGATGACGTCCTCGCCTTCTCGATCCAGCAAGACGGGCGAAGTAGTAGATGAGTTCCGGCAGCACGACGGCGTGGTGACGGTGTTGGTGAAGAACAATCTCCGCAGGGCTTCACCTAAGCACTATGGAAACTATGACGGAGGATAAACTAGAGGGGACGGGGTTGCCGGCACACAGCTTGGTGTTTCTTGATGTGTCTTTGGTACTAGCCCTACCCCTCTATTTATATGTTGAGCCTTGGGGTCGAAACTTGGAGTAAAAGCCTCCACAAAGTCAGTTTCACCCGAAAGGCAAGAGTCCTTCTCGAACTCCAGGACCAAACGCCACAATCCTTGGCGTCTGGCCCAAACACCATGGGCCTCGGCGTCTGGCCCAGGGCCAGACGCCAGGGTCTCCAGCGTTTGGCCCCCTGGCCTCCGCAAAACTCCTTTTGCACCGACTGATAGCCCCGTGGGCCTGACCCCTTGGCCTAACCATATCATCCAATATATGAATCTTTACCTCCGGACCATTCCAGAGCTCCTCATCATGTCCGTGATCTCATCCGGGACTCCGAACAACATTCGGTCACCAACATACATAACAAATATAATACTATATTGTCAACGAAACGTTAAGTGTGCGGACCCTATGGGTTTGAGAACTATGTAGACATGACCGAGACACGTTTCCGGTCAATAACCAATAGCGGGACCTAGATGCCCATATTGGCTCCCACATATTCTACGAAGATCTTTATCGGTCAAACCGCATAACAACATACGTTGTTCCCTTTGTCATCGGTATGTTACTTGCCCGAGATTCGATCGTCGGTATCTCAATACCTAGTTCAATCTCGTTACCGACAAGTCTCTTTACTCGTTATGTAATGCATCATTCCGTAACTAACTCATTAGCTACATTGCTTGCAAGGCTTATAGTGATGTGCATTACCGAGAGGGCCCAGAGATACCTCCCCGAGAATTGGAGTGACAAATCCTAATCTCGAAATACGCCAACCCAACATGTACCTTTGGAGACACCTGTAGAGCTCCTTTATAATCACCCAGTTACGTTGTGATGTTTGGTAGCACACAAAGTGTTCCTCCGGTAAACGGGAGTTGCATAATCTCATAGTCATAGGAACATGTATAAGTCATGAAGAAAGCAATGGCAACATACTAAACGATCGATTGCTAAGCTAATGGAATGGGTCAAGTCAATCACTTCATTCTTCTAATGATGTGATCCCGTTAATCAAATGACAACTCTTTGTCCATGGCTAGGAAACATAACCATCTTTGATTAATGAGCTAGTCAAGTAGAGGCATACTAGTGACACTCAGTTTGTCTATGTATTCACACATGTATCATGTTTCCGGTTAATACAATTCTAGCATGAATAATAAACATTTATCATGAAATAAGGAAATAAATAATAACTTTATTATTGCCTCTAGGGCATATTTCCTTCATATCCCACCGTGGCCGTCGCCCACGAAGGACTTGCCTCACTAGGGTAGATCTTCACAAAGTAGGCGATCTCCTTGCCCTTACAAACTCCTTGCTTCAACTCCATAATCTTGTCGGAGGCTCCTAAGTGACACCTAGCCAATCTAGGAGACACCACTCTCCAAGAAGTAACAAATGGTGTGTTGTTGATGAACTCCTTGCTCTTGTGCTTCAAATGATAGTCTCTCCAGCACTCAACTCTCTCTCACAGGATTTAGATTTGGTGGAAAGAAGATTTGAGTGGAAAGCAACTTGGAGAAGGCTAGAGATCAAGATTCATATGGTAGGAATGGAATATCTTGACCTCAACACAAGTGTAGGTGGTTCTCTCTCAGAAAATGTATGTTGGAAGTGTAGGCATGTTCTGATGGCTCTCTTCACCAATGAAGAGTGGGTGGAGGGGTATATATAACCTCCACACAAAATCTAACCATTACACACAACTTACCAATCTCGGTGGGACCGAATCGTGAAACTCGGTCGGACCGATTTAGCACATAATGTGACCGTTAGGACTTTCGGTGGCACCGACATGTCAACTCGGTGGGACCGATATGGTTAGGGTTAGGGCATAACATAATCTCAGTGAGACCGATTACTCAAACTCGGTGGGACCGATTTTGGTAATAAGCTAACCAGAGAGTTGGTCAGGCAAACTCGGTAGGACCGATTCGCTCATCTCGATTGGACCGAAACGTTACGAAGAGGAACAGAGAGTTTGCATTGTAATCTCGGTAGGACCGATTACACAAACTCGGTGGGACTGATTTTGGTAATGGATACATACAGAGAGATTACAATCCCATCTCGGTGAGACCGAGATCCCTATCGGTGAGACCGAAAAGACTAGGGTTTCTGGCAGTGGCTATGTCAACCGAACTCGGTGGCGCCAGATAGAAAGAACCGATGGGGCCGAGTTGGACTTTTGGTTTGGGTCATATGTGGATGTGAGAAAGTAGTTGAGGACTTTGGAGCATATCACTAAGCATTTTGAGCAAGAACCTCATTAAGCAACACCTCATGCCCTCTTGATAGTATTGGCTTTTCCTATAGACTCAATGTGATCTTGGATCACTAAAATAGAAAGAGTAGAGTCTTGTGCTTTGAGCTTGAACCAATCCTTTGTCCTTAGCGTCTTAAAGGGGTTCCACATCCTCTAGTCCATGCCACTCCATTGTTGAACTTATCTGAAACGTACTAGGTAAAGGTATTAGTCCAACAAAAGATATGTTGACATTAATTACCAAAATCACCCAGGGAGCACTTGTGCTTTCAGCATGCTTATCCCTAGATGTAACCGACCTCATGTAAACCCTATGTGCCCCCGGTTCCTATATAAGCTGAGGTTTTTTTAGTGCCCCCGGTTCCTATATAAGCCGGGGTTTTTTTAGTTCCGAGATTCATATTCATAGACATACAATCTTCTGGATTTAACCCCGACGCAAGGCGCCTGCATTTGCATGACTGACATCTGCAGATTCACACACTTTACCGGGCGAGGCACTTGGAGAGCGGCCACCGCCAAAGCCTCCTCCCTCTTCCTCTGTTTGCGGCGCCGAGCCGCTATGTTGACCTTGCGAGCGGCCACCACCGATGGGTCCTTCGCCTTTGGAAACATATTCGTCGCCTCCTCCTCTGGCTCCATCGCGACGATGGACGGCGAAACGGGTGGGGACTGGGATGGGTGGCGGCGGCGATCGGAGTGAAGACAACATGGAAAGGGCGGCTTTCACACGGAAAAAGTGTGGAATTGTCCAAACATGTGGGCTCCGCATCGGTTTGGGGTAGGTCTGGGATGTCGAGCGCCTACGTGGCGGTTGTCCTGACTCCCACAACTTCCCCCAACTTTGCTTCCCGTTTCCGGGAATTCGGACGTGCAGACCGGTCCGTGGACGTTTGATGCATGGTATTGGAGGGCACAAAGTGTCCGAACAGTGTAGTTCATACGTTTACGGATGGTTTGAGAATATTCATTTGAGCCCAGGCTCATCTGCTCCCGAGTATGAACAGTAAATTAAAAAAACTAGAAAATTTTGGAAAAAACTGTATTTTTTTGTCAACCAAGACACTCAAATACGTTATGTCCGGGCAAATTTACTTGTGTTGGGACATCTAAGGAGCCCGTGGCAAAAATAAATAAATAAACAAAATCGGTCCAAACAATGCCTGAACAATGAACTTTCTCACAAACCCCCATTTTTTCTGCCGAGACCTACTCAAAGGTCCATACACCACCGAATTTGACACCGACATCACGCACTCGATCATGTTCCATGCCAAAAAAATTGATATTTTTTTGAATTGACTGTTAATTCTCGGGAGAAGATGAGCTCAGGAGCCGAATCGCTGCGTAGAGATGCCCTAGTAACTTAGGTGATAGCACCATGTTCTTTATCTTCATCTTTACTTGCAGAATTAAACTCTGTGAACATTCAAGTGCCATTGTAGAACTTGATGACATTTGCGAGAGAGCTCATGCGCTTGCACTGAAAACTTAATCATGCTTGCACCATGCTGCTTACAGGAGAACATTAGTAATTAATTGTCGGTATTATTGACTGCGGGTACTGGTATTTACATTCAGTTACATATGTCGTTACGGTTGTAACCCGTACAATACACATCGCTGGTGCATATTTTGGTATGCCGCACAGGCTTCAAGAAGCCAAGGCACTAGTATTGTAGACAAGAAGAGCACCACCCAACAGAATTCCAGAAAGAGTGACTGCCCAGAGAAACAGCCCTGTCTTTCCTGTATAAGTCACCAGGAAACTAAAATGTCAAATTTACTGAATTTGGGATACAGTAAACATTTTATGATACGTTTAAAGAAACGTCGTGCAGTGTAAACTTATTTGTTTCGAGATGCCAGTCGGTCTGCGCGTACCTCCAACATAAACGTCACCACTTGGAGACCATTCTTCTGGTGTATATATCGGGCTGCAACGTAGTAAGAACCGAATAAGATGTCATGAGAGCTGAACTCCATGCATCATCTCTGAATTATGTAGACATTTGTTTTTACTGACAGAAACTGTGGGTTTGGGTTCGCGTGTTTTTACCTGTACCCATCAACGTTTGCTCCATACTTGTCGGCAAACTGGTAAACACCCTTCCCCTGGTAAAATTGGAGAATTATTAAGCGATGCACAACAGTGAAAATTTCATCAACTATCAATGATAGTACAAATAATAACATCAGAAGTAACAAAAAGTACACCCAGGTCCATAGACTGACCTTGGCCGCCCTTCCGGACGCATCGACGCCTTCCTTGAACACCACTCCACCACCAGGCCCTACAAGTTGACACACATAAGTTCATGCGAAGGTAAAATTTATGCTTGTAGCTCTCAACTCTGAACATTACGGCATGTATATACCCACCGTAGGGTTGGGCAGTCTGGACCTTCTTCGCCTTCTTGCTGGCTACTATGAGCAGCGATGGCCTCGCCGATGGTGGCACACCCCGGAGCTTCGCTCGTCCTAACAGTGGAGAGGGAGATGGTTTCAGCAGAACCAAAGACGCCATGACAGAGGCAGACATGTTTGTGCTCACTCACTAGGCTCACTCTCTTTCAGTTCAATTTGGTTTCTCTCACGGCTAATGCATGGGTTTAAATACATGGAGGCTGGGGAGTGGCAGACAGTGATCGTCTGTTTTCAGGTTGGAAGGTTGCTATAATGGCGTGTCATGGGTCCATGATCACGTGAACAGCCCTTGTCTCTTGCTCGGCTGATCAGAAACGCCGCACTTATGCAATCTGGAACGGATAAGTACCGAGGGTTTCACCTTCCTTTTTATTTTTTCCATGGTTGAGAAATTTCATCAGGTGTCCCTCACGGACAGGTCGATTTTGGGAGTTTCGCTGCAGATGATCTTATCTTTAACAGTAACATCAGAATATGACAATGCTTTTTCATTATTAGTAAGGAAAGAAGATGGCAATGCTATTTGTACGCAAAGTGCTTTGTAAAAGAAAATTAGGGAGCCTCAGTTGGACATGCGACTGAAATTTTTTAACCGGCCAGTCACTTTTTTATTTCTTTGCATAAACAAAAATATAAACTAAAAAATGCAAAAATATAGCAAAAACAGATTTTGTTTTACATAGGATGAATTAAGGGCATTGATATTATTACCTAAAAGAGGAAAAAATAAAAAAAAGAAATTAAAACAAACAACGACAAAAAATTGCACAGAAATTAGTGTTTCAGAATATAAAAAGAATGAGACTATAATAGTGTAATTCTCAGCAATAGTGTGATTTGCACACCTCTTGCATAAAACATTTGAGGAGCTCGTAGAAAAAAAAACAGGTCTTCAAATGTCTTATCACGAGGAAAAAATTGCACACACCTAGCGCACCCGAGTATCTTGCATGCTAAAAAAATCAGATTTTTTGAAGTTTTTGTTTCATTTTTCTTGACTTTATTGTTCATAGGAAGTACATCAGTCTAAGCTCATCTGTGGATTGCCGTATTGGCATTGAATATATTGTGGATGAGCTCCTAGCCCAGGGGCCAGCGGGCGGCTGTGTAACCTGGCCGACGCAGGTTTGAGCTCAGCTCGCACGCTGTTGTCTCACATTCTCCCCTTAATTAAAAATCATTAGGCTCCCCCTATTGGTCTAGTTTTTTTTATCATTTAGTCTCCCCATATGCTTAAAATCTGGCTCTGCCCTTGGTTCACAACTGCTTTGGACAACCCTAGAGCGACCATGGAGCGACCAGCCTTACTGTTTGATGAATTCGATATGGAGCTTTTTTTCACACAACCTCTACAATTACCATTTAGAATGGCGCAGAAGCTATCCTTTTGTCAGATAGATGGTTACTCATCGTTGCGGAGGTACACCGGATCAGCCCAAGCCCATCATTGTCGCCAGTCACATGGATGTCGACCAATGGCGGTGAGGGAGATCATGTGAAGAAGACCATTGCGAGCTGAGGAAAATTGGCAACTGCCAGCGTCCATGACACGCGGCTATTCAGATTTTTTCACACCATGTAAGCCTCACTTGCAAAATCATTTTTCGTTTTTGCTCTTCGACTAGCTCGTGAAAGTCACATGGATTTCGTGATGTGAGGGAGACAAATATGAATACTAGCACAAAGATGAATGACTCATTGATGTCATCACCATGTTCAAATCTTACAAAATACTATAGCAAGGAGGGAGACGAAGATGGTGTCCGCGCACACGACCTAGGGCCAATGCCCGTTGATGGTGGCGGTGCCTCCTTGTGTTCCTCTTGCGTGGGTGTTGTGATGTTGGTGTTGGAGATGAAGCTCTTGAGGGAGAGCCATCCCTCTAGATGAGAGGGTGCAACCTTCCTACAACTGTGTGGATTTGTGGATGGATTGGATGGATGATCGTCGATGCCTAGGGTTGAAGGTGTCTAAATAGCCGGTCTGCTCATGCATCCTCCATGGATATGCATGCTTCCCCCCTTTGATCCAAGGGCTCTAGGCGAGCCCCATTCTCTCGCAATACCTCCCCTAAGGTCCAAGGACCCCTTAGGAACAAACAAGGTTGAAATTGATGAAGAATCACATATCCTCGTTGCAGAATCACCTAGTACGGGCACTGGTGCGAGTGTGGATACTCGTACTGTGCGGATATCCGGACGCCAACAAACCACCCTTATGTTTGGTTCCAGATTGTGGGATTTGAACATTCGAACCGGTTCAGATAAATTTGATGGCCAGTGTTGGATGACAAAAAATATCCGAAATGTCAAATCCAATGATTTAGGAGTGATTTGATGAACCGCCTTAGAGTTGCCTAAGGTTTCAGTTCGCTAAAGCCAGGCAAACGCCTTTTCAATAAAAGAAAAAATAACACGGCAGATAGTTTGTGCAGCAACGAAATTTCGGTTTACGTAAAACATGTAATACGCTTTCCGGCTTGAGTCACAGCTCCCATACTCCACTGCCCCCCTGCCCGAGTCCGGCCTACAGTGAGGAGACCGGAGCCAGAGAGGGGCGGGCGAGCGCGAGAGCGAGTGGGCGGCGGCGGGCGGTGGATGGCGATGGCGGGAGGCGGGGGACTGAACCGGTCATCGTCGCGGGGGCAGCTGCCGCCGCAGGAGCTGCTCGACGATCTCTGCAGGTGCGTAGCCCTAACCCATCCCCCGATCCCCATCTCCGCAACTCCATCAGACCCAACCCGAATCCAATCCAATCCAATCCAATCCAATCCAATCTCGTGCCGCAGCCGGTTCGTGCTGAACGTGCCCAAGGAGGACCTGGAGTCGTTCGAGCGGATTCTGTTCCTGCTGGAGCAGGCGCACTGGTTCTACGAGGACAACTCCGTGGAGCACAACCCCTCCCTCAAGTCCCTCTCCTTCAAGGACTTCACCTCCCTCAGTAAGATAAAGATCGCTCCTTTCCCCTTTAAATCTGCTCCTGTCTCGTCACGGCCCGGGACTCCGAGCCCCGTCGAGGACGATGGTTCTTGGCGGATTCGTCGCTGACTCCGACATTGTCGCCGTCGCGGTCGCCGTCGTCCTTGTGTGCGCAGTGTTCAACAGCTGCGCCGCCCTCAGGCCCTACCGCGCGCACCTCGACGACATCTACAAGGACTTCACCCACTACAAGTTCCGCGTCCCCGTCTCCGGCGCCATCATCCTCGATGACAATTATGACAGGGTAATTTTGTTGAATAGCCCTCAATTTCCTCTGGAATTTTGTTGAATCTCAAGGTTTGCTGACCTCTCCCTTTTTCTCTGCAGTGCTTACTTGTGAAAGGATGGAAGTCTAGTGCAAGCTGGAGTTTTCCCCGTGGAAAGAGGAGCAAAGATGAAGAGGATCATACTTGTGCAGTTAGAGAAGTAAGTTTCTGGGCTTGATCCGCGTTGTGCTTTACAGTTTCCATCAGACATATTGCACTTGTAGTGAAGCAATAATGCTTGTAGATATTGCCGGACTGTTATTTTCTGGTCTGCTGAACATGGAGGTTCTTTGTTTTTACAGATTAGTTTCCTAACAATTCAAATTTCAAATCTCTAGATATTCTATGCACGCCAAAACATTGCGTTCTTGAGTTAATGTCTGGATCTGTTCTCTACATATGGGTGTCTTCTTACACCAACAATGGACCACATCAGTGTTCCTTTTGGCAATGTGTCACTGTCACAATGTCAAAGATAACAAGTGAATCTCCAATTTGTAGCATATTTACAGAACCAAGTCTCATGTTTCAGCTATTATTCCGTTCTTAGATGTGTTCTTTGCTAGGTGGGACCATCAAGCTCTCTAGTCGTCTGTACTATTTTTCTTGACCGAGAATGAGGCAATTTAGCACCAATTAGCTATATTTATACCCATTAGTTCTCTGCATAAATTACATGAAGATCTGAACTTTATCATATTTTTTCTTTTGTCCAATTACAAGCTCGTCCTGTCCATGTTTTACTCTTCCCTGCTTTTCATTACATAACCAATTTTACCTAAGCGACGTTTATTTGCATAACTATGCAGGTTCTGGAGGAGACTGGGTGTGATGTTTCTAAGCTTTTGAAAATGGATGACCACATTGAAGTTTCAATTGGACAACAAAGAGTTCGACTCTATATTATTACGGGTGTTAAGGAAGATACTGTTTTTGCACCTCAAACTAAGAAAGAGATCAGTGTATGCAAATTCTCAAATCTTTCCTCATCTTTCTATTCGGTAAAACAATTTTTCTGCACCTACCAACATCATGTTATGAAGATATGGCATGGTATTGGTATGCATGCCATGGTTCCTTAATCGGTAGTCTTCAATTGTATTAGTACTGTATGTAATAGTTTCTCCTTTCTGAATAACATATTGTAAGAATGGTCCTGATGTTTTGCAACAATGCATCCCAGCTGAGAAGTGGCACTACATAGATATGTGTTACTATTTTTGTAACCGCTAACACATGCCCAGACTCTTTGCAATTTCACACATGTTTTTTTTTAATCAGCCCATTGCATCCCCACATGTTCTTATTTCCTTGGTTTGAACGTTGCCACAGGACCAAACTGCTTGCAATTTCTTATTATCTCGTATGCTTTCTTAGGTATAGCATTGTGTTAGTAATTTTTGTGTTTGCTCGAGCTTCAAAGCTATTGTATTTGCATTGTTTGGTTTTTATCTTTCTTCTTTAAACCTTTTTTTGGTAAATGAGTGAAATGGCCACTGCTAACTTTTTCTCTCTGCGAATATGGCAGGAGATCTCATGGCACAGAATTGATGATCTTCTACCTGCTAGTGATGATGCAATATCTCGTGGAGTGAATGGGATGAAGCTTTATATGGTTGCACCATTTTTGACGTCAGTACTTCTTTACACTATTTTTTTATATCTTCCTTTGTGCAGAAGTTCTATATATGCATTGCTCCCATGGTGGCTGTTAAACTCTTAGCATGTTCGATTGGTTGTGCTTCTTAAATGTATTTTGTTGGTTCCACATTATTTGGCGCCTTACGGTTTTGCTTGTCCCAGGGGTCTAAAATCATGGATAGGCACACATCGGTCCCAAGTATATCAGAAGTCAGATACATCTGCTAGAGGTTTCTTCTGCTCCCTCTTATGCCCATTGTGGTCATTGGCCTACATAAAGACATTCCTGAGTACCCACGAATTAATTCTGTATTAACTGTTTTGCTTCAAATTTACCAAGCCCTGTTCTCTAAAGTCTAAAGTCAATCCACAGATGTCTTTCCAAAGTGAACCAAAGCTAATACACAAGTATAACATATTCGAGGGCAATACTATATTCATGAGTAACTTTTGGCGCTTGATATATACCCATGTTGAACCTGTTGTGACATGTACTGCTTTCTTACATGGTTGTGAACCCTGAGGTGACATCTACGGTAACATCACTCCACAGGTACTGTGTGGAAAGCGAAGAATCCCTCGGGTGTCTTTGTGCCTGTGGAGAACCCTGTTATTACTAGAGCAGGGTCTGACGCGCAGAACCCTGTTATTACTAGAGCAGGGCCTGGCACGCAGAACCCTGTTATTACTAGAGCAGGATCTGGCACGCAGCACGTCGACAACCGCCCTGGCAAAAGCTTCAGAAGCTTCAGATTCGATACGGCCAGTATCCTGCAGTCCATGGAAGCTTCCTTTCTGCGTACCTAAGATCCTGACAGACCATCAACTCCTGTACCCCTGGAATGCCGTCGTCCCTCATTGTTAACTGGAATCCTTGACGCCACGGCATTTCGTCTTCCCCATGTCCTCTTCTTTTGGTATCTGTAATCTAGAACGCAACAATTGTCGCATCTTTCTTGAGTTGTTATTATGTCATGTCTTTCATACACTTAAATTCTTGCTTTTGCTTTAGGGGATTATATGCGATGTCTGAAATTATTTGCATGTTACACTGGTTAGTGCAGGAAGAATTCTTGTGCGCTATGGCCCTCTTTATTAGCATTGGGTCGTAAATTAACCAGCTTTCTAATCGGTCGGACGCTGAATGAGACAATCCTTTTTGGCTCTCTTGTGCCACACTCCTGGTAACAAACATAGGAATACATATAAGTGAAGTGCAGGAACGGCATAGGTGAAAGCACATTGATTTTTGGAGCTAGCAGTGCATAAATCCATGAATCACATCACTACAGGAATAAATCATAACACTTGCAGTTCTTCTGTTAGCACATGATGAGCTTTCTTTGCAGCTATTTCCTATCACAAATGCATCAAGAAACAGTGAAAAGGATGATAACAAAAAAATCGTTGCAACAAGAGGCAAGTCTTGTAGCACCCATGAACTAACTCAGCATGGATCAAACATGTAGGTTTTAGATTCAACAAGGCGGCTTCAAATCAGCATTCACCGCAACACACCGATATCACTAATTCAACATTGAATCGAACACAAGTTTGGTAATAACTTGCAGCATCACGCAGGTGAAGTAGGCATCGTCTGGTCAAAACAACAAGGAGTCTAGGACTCTACTAGCCAACACGAAAGAAGTACCACCATCACCAAAATGTACTTGCTATAGGGTTTAGGGATAGGGAACTCGGTAAGATGGCAGTATGGCATATCAATCAATTGCCATTATTTGCACGGACAATATGGACTTCCATGGCACTCCTTTTGTTGGCCAACAGCTCAAAGGGGCAGATATCGTCCATCTTCACATCATTGTCTTTGACGAACTTCTTCCATCCACTTACAACTCGATAATCCTCACGCTAAACGCTAAACTTCCCCTTCCATTTCTTCGCAAGTAGCTGGAAATGGACGACTGGCTCATCTCCAAGATATTGCTCGGGGACAATCTATTCCAGATTTCAACACAAGAGTTAGTTGAGCAATAGTAAATTAATATTGTGTGTGTGTAAACTGAGGTATGACTGGTTATGAATGCATAAATCCTGATCAAGAATACTGTACTGTTTTCATCAATAAAGAGAAGTAAGTTTCAACAGACTTGAACATTCATGATCGATACAACAAAATATGGAGGGAGCCACTCACCAGGATGAATGCTTTATGAACATTGGCCTTCCCCATCAAAGCAACAAAGATGGGAATGTCAGAGTCTTCACTGCCATTAGTACTCCCTCTGTTCCTATTTGTAGCCCGCCTTGTGGAGTGGCTCTTATACCAAGACACGTGCTGGCGTTTTTTTTTGGACGAGAATTGCCCCTATACTTGCTAGGTCTGTCAAGCACGTGGGTGCCTGCTGCTGCACTCCCGTGACTAGCCAAGGGATACTTTCGTCCAAAACAGTCTATACGCACTACAATTCGGAATCTAAGGCAGAAACCTATGCGCACTATAATAAGGAATGGAGTGAGTACTTCTTTACACTAATTTTGTATGTTCCTTTGTGCAGAAGTTGTTTACATGCATTACACCCATGGTGGTTGTTAAAATCTTCTCGAGGTGGGCTTTCGCCCTGCTTTATAAATAAAGCAACGGTCCATACAACCAACATCCAAAGTCATACTCAAGCGACGGCTGGGGAAACGGCACATACATGCCCAAGGAAAGAAAAAGAAATAAAAAAGCCACCAAGCGGCCCTACTATGACGAAAGTCAGCGCGCCACAGCCAAAAGCGCATCCATCATGAGCCCTAGGCGGTCACGGTCACGCTGCCTCAATGTTGTAAAAAAGGCAAGAAATTTGAAGAAAGAGTCAGATGCCCGCCTCGGAAGGATCTTCTCAATCACCATCTTATTACGAGCTGTCCAAAGCGTCCAAGACAATGCCACGAAAATAAGCCAAAATAAATGTCGATGACAGGAGCGTAATGTAGCCCCGTACTGGAGGAATTCCGCGAGGTTGAGGGCCTCCCATTCGGTCCCAAGAGCCTCACAGATGTACGTCCAAAGTACCCGTGCCGCCGTGCAGGAAAGGAGGATATGTGTCCCTGTCTCCGGTGCCACACACAGGGGCCACAGACCATCACCCGGGCCATGCCGCTTCAGGACCTCACTCCCTGAAGGGATGCGATCTCGAAGTAGCTGCCACACAAAGATCTTAATCTTCAGCGGCAAGGGGGCTTTCTACAGGGAGAAAGCCAGGGGGTGGCCGGGGACTGGCATAGGGTGTGGTATGCCTAAGCACCGAAAATTCTGCCGTCGGGGCTAGCTTCCATGAGATAGGGTTCGGATAGTCCGCAAGCACCGTTGGTAAGGATGCCCGTAGGGTATCCCAATCTTCCCGCTCTACATGCCCGAAGGCGCGGTGGAACTAGACATCGCACACTCCATCACGGAATGCCCTAGATAAAACTAATTGAGGGTTAGAATAGATCAAAAACAAGCCGGGAAAGTTTGTTTTTAGGGGCTCGGAACCCAACCAAGGGTCTAGCCAGAATTGGGTTCCAACCCCATTCCCTATTGAGAAGGAAATCCCTAGACAGATGTCCTCCTTGATGCTTTGGATGGGTCCACTACTGGAATCAGAGAATTTTCCATCAGCCAGTTCTTTGCCGTTTGCTAGCAGACGACAAAGAAGGTCTCTGCTGACAGCTTTAGAAAAGTAGACGGCAACGAACGAGCTGATGGCAAAGACACTATTTGCCATCAGCCAGTTTTTTGCCGTCTGCTAGCGGACGACAAAGGAATGTTGCCGTCTGCTAGTAGATGACAAAGAGGTGGGGGTGGGGTTCAGTGGAGGCCAGCTTATTGCAATGGCCCACCTCACCTCTTTGCCATTTGCTAGCGACTACAAAGTTTC